AATTATAGTTAGTTACAAAAGTTAGAAGGCATGTTTACTATTAAAAAATATTTATAGGTTAATGTGGTTCACTTACATAAAAGAAGTGCGGAGCCCTTTTATTTAGGACTCCGGTGCGTTCGGCTGAAATTATAATTTATCTTGAAAACTGAAAATACCGGTGCCGGGCTTCGATGGGCTTCTGCGCAATTTAAGTGCAGATTTTTACAGAGTAATTTGTTTTTACCTACCTTTTAAAGTAGTTCTAAATTGAGATATGGCAGTGTCACAGAAAGTGTTTTAAGCTGTGATATTCTGTTGTATGATCATCACAGTTTTACCTTTTACCCAGAATTTCTAGAATCAAAATGCTGGGTTCATCATTCCTTACTCCTTTAATTTTATCTGAGGACATTTTCTCCACAATAGCTTTTTGTTGCCGCTTCGAAAGTTGTTCCGTTATTCCTTGCAGATCTCATTTTTGTTGTCTTCTAGTAACTCCTCCACATCTTCATTATTATATTCAAAGCCTATAATTACGCTTAGAGGTATATTGTTATATACACCATTAACATCCTCAAAGTCAAAATTCTCTGCCTGCAATGACTGTACTTTCTCGAGAGAGAATTCACAGTCCAGTAAGCCACCTGCTGCTTGTCTTTGTTAGTGATAGTTAAGCAATGGGTGCATTCATCACCTGAGGTTCCACTGTGTTATTACTGATAGCTGGTACCATATTTAAGACTTAATATTGCAAAAATTAAGTATAAATTGAATACTAGCAAACAAAATCGAAATTTGAATTATTAGCCTAAATTCAGTCCTACGCGACTTATTCTAAAGCATGAATGGAAGTACATATTCAACATATGATAGAAATTAGACGTTTATCTGGTGATGCAATAACACTTCCGTAAATAAAATGAAGACCTGTGTAGAGTTCTGTTAGCGTAAAAGATTAAATCGTCTTCCAGACCCTACTATCCTGTTACGCGAATTATCACTCCAGTTTGAATCAATGCGACAACGTCCTAGGAACATTAAAATAACATTTTTATTAACTCTTTAAATTTGACAGAAGACACCACATGTATTTACAAAATTTCGCCCCTTGCCATATTTAAAATAACATAAATTAAATTAAAATTCAAGAAACATAATCAGAGACTAACAAAATGCTCTATTGAAGCTAATTCAAGTATTTCAAAGGAGAGTTTTTAACATCGGCTAGCAAAATGGCTAAAGCAGGAACAATCAAAACCCTCAACTTAAATACTCACAAAACTAATTTGCATTCTAGTGAGGACTACAGAAAAAAGTTATAATAAAGTTTCAAATCGTAATAACTGGATGATTAACATAAAATATCTTACACTGGTTTTAATATAAATTTTATATTAATATGTAACAGATTTATTATTATTACAAAATTTAAATAAAACTTTAATAAAGATGAGAATATATTTTACACAAAATATTAGTGGCACTAAAATATATTAAAAAACGGATGTAGGAAAGAAAGATTATTTCGGCTGAAAAGAAATACTATAAAAAATAAAGGAACCATTACCAGTTTCTGCACCTGGTCAAGGTTATATTTTAGATATCACATTAGTACACTAACGTAAACACTTAGAATTTAAATTTACAGTTTTATGAAAAACGATACTGATCTTATTGTAATTAGTTGATTTAGTTTAACAGAACGTTGTGAATGTTTTTTTTTTTTTTTTTTTTTTTTTTTAATGAATGCTTTGTTTACAATGAATTTTCCCTGAAAAACGTCAGTTATTTAAATCGCTTTATTAAGGTACTTTCTCTATAACAGAGATAGGTTTACATATTCTTTAAAGAGATCCTAAAAGGCTGTAATTGATGGCACTTATAACTGATTGAAACTAGGAATGGAACTTCGAATCCTCTATTAGCATGAATGTTTAAAAACGTACAAGGTTTGAAAATTTATATTTCCGGAATTTTGGGGCATTTACATATTTTGAATTTTAATTTCAAAAGCCGTTAAGTGTCTCAACCCAAAACTTTCCATAGATTAGTTTTTTATGTCCAACAGAAGCATCAATCAAAAGAATAACACGTTTATTGCAATTTCAGTGGTACCTTGATCTCCAATATCATCTTGTGCTTCTCAGATGGTGTAGATTTAAAAGACAGCTTTCTCATTAGCGAAACTTGCGTAACTGAATTCGGATATTCGAGTTGAATACAAAATAAAAATAAGTGTTCTCTTCCGCTTTTAAAAAAAATAAATTTCTGATGTCTTCGAGATCTTTTTCTGAAAATATAATGTTAGTTTCTGCTTAATATGTAGAAAAGCTATCTCCCAGTATGTAAGGCACTTAACAAGAACAAGTGTAAGTTTGTATTTTTTGCAATTGAAATTAATCTCAAAATCTGCTATTATTCTAACAGGAGTAAATAAGAATTACTCCCCCATTAAACCTAAATACGATATTCAATTTTATATTGACAGATTGTTAAGTTTTTGATGCTCAGAAATATAAAAATCAACAGCGCGCAGGCCGGAATCTTAGCGACGGATCTTCCACTTGCCAACTTCCACTTTCCACTTACCGCCTCCAAGCATAGGCATTCTCAGCAGCCACCTGGGAAGCCGATTTTGGTATCAGCAATTTTGTTACTATCATAAGCTAGAAGAAAATAAGGGTTTATTTGTCTCTGGATTATTTACATATGACGTTAACTGTATCGTTGTTTAGGGAGCCAAAATTGTTACAGGCAAGCCTCGAGTATCTATAACCTTCATGTCTTGTAGAAATTTGCATAGATGTACAAGGGGGCCAACAATGGAACTATATTTTTCGTTACTTATAAAATTTGTAATTGAATATATTTTAATTAAAAATTAAATGCGAGTTAATTCTCATAAAATTTTTAATATTACACCTTTTATGATTGATATTACACCTTTCATGATGAATTACCACTATCATTAGCAATTCTGTACACAGCACTATCTCTTAAAAATTCATCAAAAAAGCCCTGAGCATTATAAAAGCTATAAATTGAGACATACCTAGTGTATGGAGACACCGTACCTAGTACGTACAACTGAGACAACTTATAATGTTGTAATCGCATGTTTAAAAATAATTGAAGTAGATGAATAAGAAAAACGAAACGTCGACTACCTTCTCTTCTTTATTTTATTTATTTTTTTTTCTGCTTGAGTTTAAGTTTGAAAATTTACACAAATATGTTTTCCACAGAGTTAACTAAATACTCTATTTACTGGTGTCCGCCGATAACATCGCGACAAATACATCGCGGACGAAAACGTCGCGGAGAAAACAATGCAAGGCGAAAACATCGTGCTACAAAACATCGTGGGAGAAAACATCGCAAAGAGAAAATATCGCAGCCCTAAAAACATCGTCGTCGAAAATAAAGCGGTTCAAAAACTTCGCAGTTTAAAAACATCGTCGTCGAAAATATCGTGGTAAAAAATAAAGTATCTACAAATCATCGCATGACGATAACATCGCAAACATGCTTTTTTCAGGCTTTAATAACTGTAAATGGAAATATGGTTCTCATAAGGATTTGTGGGCGCAAGATGTAAAGAAGGATAATTTTTACTTTCACAGCTTTTTATTGACTAATAAATTTTTGCTGAAAAAGTTAAATTATTGCATTAATTAATTTAAGGCAACTTATACATTATACTTTTTATGAAAAATTACCAGTAAAAACTTTATAAAAAGGATTTATTAATGGCCTTTGTTAGTTAACTATGTCGGTTTAAAATTCTATTGAGTGATACAAGTTGCATTAATTTTCTATGCTTAAGTTTCCTTCTTATTTTCTCAGCAAAAATTTATTAGTGAATAAAAAATATGAAAGTAAAAATTATCCTTCTTTCCATGAAAAAAGCACGTCTGCGATGTTATCGTTATGCGATGATTTGTAGATACTTTATTTTTTACCACGATATTTTCGACGACGATGTTTTTAAACTGCGATGTTTTTGAACTGCTTTATTTTCGACGACGATGTTTTGTACCACAATGATTTAGGACTGCGATGTTTTCTCTTTGCGATATTTTCTCCCACGATGTTTTGTAGCACGACGTTTTCGCCTTGCGTTGTTTTCTCCGCGACGTTTTCGTCCGCGATGTATTTGTCGCGATGTTTTCAGCTGTAAAACTTTTACTTGCACATATCATCCTTTTGCCTAATTTATTTTCTAATTTTTTCAGCATCTGATTTATGGTAGCAATATAAAATGTATGCATAAATAGAAAAGTGTTTTGTGCAAGTGAAAAGAATATAATCGAAATTGGTAAGTACTTTGAAATACATAATATAGTAATATTAGTGTGTCTTTGTGTGTGCGTTTTATTGCGCTGTGTTTATCATTTAAGTCATTTCTTGAGAAATATTATACACCGCGTATTTTGCTCCTCCTGCTTTAAAGCGATAAATTTAGTGAGAGAAAAAAGGACAGACGGAATAAGTGAGTAAACGAGGTATTTATGGAATATTTATGGAATGGCATGAATTAAAATTTTAAAAACTATGAATTGTTTATTTTCTATCCACTAAAAAAAGAAAAAAAACTTAAAATTTTATAGTTAAAAAAATTACTTTCACTTTTATTGCACATTTTAGACTTCAAGTGTAACGTGTTAGTAATACATGTATCCCACTGGAGTTAAATTTCATGTATTTAACTTAATCACTGCTATATGTGCATATAATACTAACACAGAACTGCATAAAATTAGATCATTTTCTCCTACAGTAACTTTTTCTACCTCTTACTAGAAAAATTTTCTCCTACAGTAACTTTTTTTTATAATATTAACAAAGACGATGGTAATCATACACTAAAGAAACAGGGAATTACAATTTTACAAGCAGAAGTTCAACAACTTTTCCCTGAAAATTGTTGCTTCGCGTGCTACAAAGCGGTGAATAAAATCAAAATAAAACCTAATAGAATTTCTATTTTCTTTGTTTCTTCAGACGAAAAGAATTTTATTTTTTAGAGCAGAAATCTGAATGCATTAACGTTCATGCATGCTTACTTTATTTGCAAATGGAAAATAGGTAAGCTAAATATTCTCCTGCATAATTTAGTATATTTTTAAATGCTTTCACCTTCATTTAGTTACGAATAAGTATATATGTTTATATGTATATAAACTTCTATAGATTGAAAATGCTTATTTGAAATTTTCAAACGCTCATGCACATCGCTTCGTATTTGACCACAATGTTAATAATATTTCGGTAATATTGCATTCGCATTCAAGCATTTCTGAGTGAACAATAAAATATTTATGTTATTTATTGACCAATATTTTGAAAACTCCTATTTACTCAAGTCATAACTGTTTTTAATTGTTGCACGAAAATAAGGAATGAATAAAATTAATAAAAATGGTTGATATCATATTGTACATAAAACCTCACTTAAATTTATTAGCGCTGTAAAAGGAATTAAAATCGGTTCTAAATTTTTATCATTAAAATTATTTAATCCGTCTTTTAATAAATATTTTAGTATTAAATTTAAAATTGTATTCCTCTGCATTTGAAGTAGCTGCCAAAAATATCTCAGCAGAAAAAAGCGTTGTAAGGTATTTCTCCCGCCTTCTTAGCATGCCTTCGCTAGTGTAGTGGTCAGCACACTCGACGCGAATTCGAGAGGTCCACGGTTCGAGTCCCGGCGAGGGTATTGCTCATTTTTCACATCTCCTCCTTCGAAATAACCTAATGTCTCTACAGAGTCACTATTTTTAACCCGTTTATGTTATAATGCTATTGTTTCACAATGCATATTTCCTATCTTGGCAAAAAAAAAGAAGCTTTCTGTGATCGCATCTTTTTTAACCACATTAATTTTTGTCTGAATTGATTTAAAACATAATGCTCTATGCGCTTTCAAAGATTGCAAACATTTAAATTGTCAAATAGGCTTATTTTATCATTTTATTACATGAGAATATTAATGTTTTAATAATATTCGACATGTATAAAAATGGGAATAGTGAATCATATTGCCTGCTGTGCAACTAAAACGATGTACCGCTTCAAAATAAATTTTCAAAAACAATAGATTGCGTTAAATTGATAAATTTAGTTAAGTTTAAACAAAATTCCTTATCTGTTACCTGAAAAAAGAAGACAGTCAAAGGCAAAGGCTAATGCTACTAATCGTAATAGGAAAATAACGCCTTTTTTAGAAGATTTTATTTAGTTCAATCGTGATGTTTCACTGTAAATGGAGTTTTGTCATCGATTTTAACGTACTTCCAGATATATTGTGTTAAAAATTTTATATCCACTGTTTATCGATGACAATGCAATGTGGTGATGCCAATTTTTTAAATTAGAGTTATATTTTTTTATTTGATGTTTAAATGATTTTTTCGCACATAGCTTCGTTTAAAGAACGAACTAAGCATATCAAAATTTCACTCTTTCCATTATCAAATGCAGTGGGAAAAAAAATCTTTTCAATCAAACTTCCATGAAAATTGTAACTTAATTTCTGAATTTTTGAATATCGTTCGATTTTTTAGATTCTTATAACACTGATGATTTCAAAATTTCAACATTTTAAAATGTATCGGTTATAAAATTTTGAAATTTTCACAGGTTAAAAAAGAAACTTTACATCCTCTTTTAAAATAAGAATGAGAATAAAAATTTTTTAACAGAGCTATTTTCTACATTTAAAAAAAATATATGTTGGAATCTAAAGCAGACGGAAGGTGTTGGTGTATTTAATTATGGCAAAGCACACTAGGGCTATCTGCCTAAGAGGAGGGATGCCTTCGTGGAGGACTTTCTAAGGAAACTGGCTCGTATACACGTTACACATGGGGAAAACCACGAAAACGCCCATGCAGCCAGCCCGTTCGCGGGATTCGAACCTCGGAACGAACTACCAGTGTTCAGCGACTTTACCGCTCGGCCGCTGGTGGTCCTAAGCAGACGGAAGGAAAAAGCGTTTTGTGTCTGCTTATCTTGGCACACTTAAAAGGACGAATTGGTGATATTCGTTTTTCTTATTTTAGCTTCAAGTAAAATGCTCATTATGTAACATTGTTATAACATCCAATTTCAGAAAATGAATATTCAAATCGGTTTCTTCATTATCTGAATGACGTTCAGTTATTTTTTCTTATTTCTCTTATAATTATTGTGTTTTAATAATGACTCAAACTTTCATCACTGATGATCTGTAACTGAGACTTAAAAAATAAAAAAGCTTTTATTTAAAATAGATATTAAAATTCATACACTAAAATGAGAAAAATAATTTATCATATAGCTTAAAGTTAATAATAGATTACGTATATAATAATAGTATGCGTAGATCTATTTACGTAATCCATCTACAATTTATATGGTGAATAATTAAAGCGTGGGGCACATAAGTAATAAAATCTATTAGTTTAATCGCATTGTCAAATGTATAATTCATTATATATTTTTTAATTTATCATGAGTGCTCTTTTATTATCCGTGATGTAAAATGGTAGATGAATTCTGAAGCAGAATTATTTAATCTGTTACGCATATTAAACTGTATGATAAATTATTTTTCTTTTAATACATTAAATATCATATCCATTTTAAATAAAAGATTAGTATGTAAAAATCGTTTTTTATTGTATTTTATTTATAAATGGAGAAGATTCAATGATTTAGTAACCTTCACAAAATCTTTGTGAAAACTTGAATTCTGCGAACTAATTTAAAAAATTTCATGAAATTGAGGTTAGAAAAGGATAATCAAGCAATGCAGATATAGAGAAACGAAGCGAAGTATCATGTAATGTTTAGAAAGGGATGCAAATTCAGAACTATATAAAAGTTAAGTACAAATTTAAATAACTTTATCTCAAATATTTTAATTAGAAAATTAAAACTAAATACACCATTTCTTGTGCTATAAATTTGTATCTAATCCTAAAATTTGAGATAAAATTATCTATTTCTTTTTTTAAGGTACTGTAAACTGTTTTACTTTTAAAGCTCTTAAAATTTTTCTAAGCAGATGTCTTTCGAAAATGATCGTTGAAGTTTTTCATATCATGAAACAGACTTCTAATTAAATTGTTAAAATTTTATTTTTATTCAAAAACTAAAATCTGGCATTTTAAAACTTCATCAAATTAATATAAAATACAGAAAATTCTAGATATTTCTCTTATGAAAACAAAAAAATTTTATAATAGTTTTGCTATACAAGTATATGTAGTTTCTTGGTTTTGATATGAATATTATAACAAAAGTATATGCATTTTGTTAATTTTGATATGAATATTAAAATACCAGTATACGCAAGAATAAATTAATTTCTTTACAATGTTTTCTAGATGCATGTGCTAGTGCGTAGAATAGATATTTCCATTTTTCTTAAACTATCCAAAATGAGATTTCAGAAGTAAAACCCCTGAAGGAAACTCCATCACAAAACTCCTCGAGCCATCAGCAGCATTGTACCGAGCGCTGGCAATATCTTTATATACTCCAGTGCTTGGTAGCCCCATCCTGAATCGAATGGACATATCATCACCTCCTGCGTATCTGTTTGTCCAAAGGAGGTACCAGTTCCATTTAAGATCTCGAGAACTACACGCAAACAGTAATTGTTCAATGTGAGCGAGCTTCGGAATTGAATATCTTTCCTCCCCTCTTTTGAGTCCCCCTACTGCACACTCAATGGACAATGAGAGACAGCCCATAGTGCCTGAAATTGGATTGTATCTGTGACTATCCGCCACAGGCTGGCTGAAGAGGTTCCATTAGACTAAATAAGCAAGTACTTACTTTATGATAGTACCTAATCGATTAATCAAGCGAGTTTAGGTTGGAGTAAACTATTTCATTGACTACCCACATTTCATATGCAAAACTATTATTAATTATCTGCCATGCTGTAAATTTGCAAACAAATTTTGCATGCATTGTTTAAACAGTATCATATTATTAAAACTGTCTTCTGTATTGACTTCTATTCAATCAATTATTATACTGAAAACTTAGAAAGGAAAATTAATCGATGGTAAAATCATTAAATTTAAGTCAAGGTACTAATGGCGTACTTCCAGCATACAAAGAAGTTCTAAGGTTATAAATAATTTGGTTTTGTACATATTTTTGTTTCTTTGATTCATAAGTTTTCTTATTGTAAATTAAATATGATTACTTAAATCTTACAATCAAAGAGCGTTCTTAAAAAAATTATAAATTATTCGATAATTTATAATTATAAAGTATTCGTTAATATCAACCAGCATTCATAAAAAACAACTTTTATTAATATATAGAGTGAATAAGAAGTCTGGCTTTCCTTGGTTGCAGAAACTTACTGATATAACTGTGGAAGACAAAAGTATGATTTTTTTCATTTAACAGTCCTTTTGATATATATAGTATTATAATTTAATGTACAATACCAAACGGCGTCGTTGAAAGAAAAAAAAAATAAGTGTACTCTCAGTGTCATGAAATGAAAATCTTCCGTCAACGGTGGCTTAGAAATTCAAACGGATGAAATCTTCCAAGGGCTTACAGCACTAAGAATTGGTATGAAGAAGTTTCAGAGGAAATGGTAGCGTTGTTGAATTTCCAAGAAGTGTTAGAACTACTGTAAGTGATGAATTGGCCGGGTCATGATTCGAACAGCGGACATATCAATGCTCAAATCTTTGCAATACCATTTCGTGATGCTGATAATACTCTGAGGGCTAAAATCACAAATATATGTTTGTAACCAGGAAATTTATATTGCTCAATCTATGTTTTTAATCGGGTAAAAGAGAATGTTCTAAATAGCTATACGTTAAACTTAGTGTATATGTTATTATTTACAAATGCTTGGGCTGAGTTTCCTTAAATGTTCTTTTTAAAAAAATAATTGACATATTTTATGATTTTATGCCGAAATGGTTGACTTTAAAAAGGTCCCAGAAAAAATATCTCACTAAATTTTCTGTTGCATTTTCAAAATAGTTTACAAAATATTTTAAATATTTATGCTTAGTAAAGTGCTGTACAGAAGAAATATTGTTATTGTGAAGAAAATAGAATTTGCTTATACTAATTTCAATTGCAGTCAAACAGTATAATGTCATTAGATTCAGTGCTCTTTGCTATCTATATTAGTACTACATGAAAATATATGCACATGAATTCAGAGAAATTTATCAGCTGCAAAAAAAAAACTATGGAAAATAATAAACTTCAAAAAACACATAATAGTTTTGCAATATAGAAATTAACTTTATCTAATGCAAATATGCATTTCCAAAATAGGCCTTATTAATTTTTTGTAATGTCAAAATTCGAATTAACATTTATGAAGCGCATAAAAAGTTACTGAAAATAATTTACGACCGAAAACAAATTAATGAAAAATTAATTAAATTTGGATATAAAAAAGCAAGAAATTTCTTGTGCCATTATTCTTTTTGAGATTTAAGTTAAATTTCTTTCTTTTTTACTTCTTCTTTGCTTTACTTGGTTTATAACTTTGCTTCTATTTAATAAGCAGACGCAGTAACGATTTCCTAGAATATTTCGCTTGTAAATATAAATTTATGTATCGCATAAGTTTGCTATCAATAAAAAATTAAATTTTAACAAAACATTCATTAACCAAAATTGGTAGAAACTAAAAAACAAAAATTAGTATAAAATTATAATGGATTTACAGCATTTTGTCACCAATTCTATGCCCTTTGCGTGTCTCTAGAAAATTACCACTTTAAATAAGCACAAAAGTTTGTAAATTGAAACAAATTTGAGAACACATATGTAGTATAATACCTTTTGTCGATATCCTTGCTTAATTATTAAAAATGATCGCCAAGATACGCTGATATTTATCCATCGGAAGTGTAAAGTTAACCGCATAAGAATCTGTCAAGGAGATTAAGTTATCACAAAACATATTAGAAAACGTAAAATGAGATTCTTGATTAATGTTCTTGATTAAATATGAAATTATTTTGGTTAGAAATAAATAATAAGTAGGTTAAGTTATAAGGTATTTTCTTCCTCCTTTTTGGATGCCTTCGTGTTTCCTACTTCAAAATCCCAATAAATCTACAGTGGTGCCCCAACTAAAAGGGGGTGGATGATTATTTTTCACCACTAGGGTTTGGCTATTGACCAAACCCTAGTTTGGCTATTCCCCTGGTCCAGATTGCCCTTTAAAATGGGGAGTATATAATGAATTTTCTCCCTCCTCCTTGCATGTCTTGCAATGTAATGGTAGCAAACTCGGCGCGTAATTGAAAGGTCTAGGTTCAAGTCCCGGCGAGGATATTACTCATTCCCCGTGTCTTCTGCTTCAAAATAATCTAATGACTTTACAGTGGTGTCCGAACTAAAAGGTGGTGGATCATGATTCATTGCCACCAGGCTTTGGCGAATGGGTCCCCTAATCCCCAGTCGCAATTTAAAAGAATTTTCTCGCTCCTTTCTGTGAGCTTTCGTGGAGTAATGATAGCACAATCGGCTCGTATTCGAGAGTTTCAAGTTCGAGTCCCGGTGAGGGCATTGATCGTTTTTTCATGCTTCCTGCTTCAAAACTCCTAATGACTCTACATGGTATAACTTGTAATCATAATAATTTTACATTATTCCAGTTCTCTTTCATCTTGCTGGTTTAAAAATTAAAAGCAAATTCTCCTTTAGATTTAACTTGTTACAACTGAACGAAAAATCATACTCATTCAAGTTTTGGACCCCCACAAACTTTCCTATCTCTAACATGCCCGCAAACTCAAACAAATACCATCAGTAAAATTTTCTTTTCTCCAAATTTCACATTTTCATTATTCATACATAACATTTGAAATTTGTCAAACCAGCTTGCTTTAAAAGAATCTAATAGCAACATTGTATCCTAACAAAAATAACAGATATAAAAACTTCATTTCCGGCTCCTTCAAGACTAAAAATCGGCCTTCCATTCAACCCCTCATCCTCAAATTCTGAGGCAAAATTTCTCCACATTTTTAAAAAGTTCAAAACAGAAAAAAAAAGTTATTACAATAAAGGAAACTAAAAACAAATTCAAAAAATAAAATAAAAGCGAAGAAATTGTGCAACATGATAGAAGGTCATTCTCACTTCACTAAGTCAGGAACAAATGAAACGACAACCGGTTTGAACGCCCGAAAATTCTGTGCCATTTCCGTGTTTGATGGAACTCCAAAAATGATCTAGAACAGGAAAATGGAAAAGACGGTAAGAAAAAAATCTCGGAAGAAAATGGATCTTATTGCATCTGCACCAGAATTTATTTTAAATCCCATTTCGGTTTACATATGAAAGATAAATAAACATCACAATGGTTTACACTGACACACCAAACTATAAACTCCAAATACTGGTAATTACTAAATTAATTAATTAATTCCAGCTAATACGAAGTATACTTAATTTTCATATTACGAAATATGTAAGCAAACTAATGTAACATAAATTGACTTCTCTTTAAAATTTCATTCTCTTTCGAGTTGTCTATTATGTCTCTTACAATATTTGAGTTCAAAAATCTCGATAGATCAATGACCGGGAGGAAATTGATGAAATGTTGCTAAAAATTGCAAATTAGTCAAATCAAATTATATTCATGTCTCTTCATTACTCCTTTTGTTGGGTATTTACGCACGCTTTCTTATGGAACCAGCAAGTATAAATTAAATAGGAATGTGCTAAGACAATAAATTAAAAAGGTTCACTGGTTAGGAAAAGAGAAAATGTTGAGTAGGTATTAAAAAGTTCTGATAGGGAAAAAGTTTCTTCTTCCTCAACTATAAGCAAGCGAATAAAAAAATTGAAGGTCTGAAAATTTAAGTACGTAACATGCATCTAACATTATAAAACAGGAAAATACATATAATATCACCTATTAAATAAAGTGGCTATTCGAACAAATGGAAAAAAATCACCGAAGAATAGAGAGTAGTAAAAATCTGAATATGAATTTATTAAGCATACTTTTAAAAGCTTAGTGGAAATTCTAACGACGCAATTTAGTGTCTATGTGCCAATTAATTAGCAGCTAAATTTAATTTTAACCATTAAAAATCCCATTTCATCACATTTGCAAATTATACTTTTAGTCTAAACACACGTGAAGCTGTTAAAATGACTTTTTATCTCCTAGGATTGAAGTTAAATTTCCGGTTCAGGAATATATTCTATTTCTTCCCATGTATCTGAAAATATCTTAATTATATAAAAGTATGTGAAAAAGATATTTGAACACAGCAGCAAAAATAATTAACCATTCATTTTATTACTGATTTACTGATTTACGAAAGCAAACCTGAAAGAAAACCGATTATTTTTGCAGTTGGTAAAAAGTGGTAATTGTAGAATCCTAAGTTACATATAGAACAATATACAGGTATAGATTGTTATTAAAAGAAGACCTCAGATTGAAGCCTGATTCTTATTTTGTTGCTAACTTTCATCCTGTTTTTGCATTTAATTCCAAATGTAGGGTCCTTTGCTCCAGCAACTGTATTTGAAATACAGTATTTTCTTCTTTTATTGCAAAAATTGTATTATCATGTTTGTAAATAACAACTTTTCCTGCTAAAGTAAAATATTCAGTTGTATAAGATAGTGACGTGATGCGATACCTCCCTGCTACAGGCTGCGGATCTTTAATTTCCAAAGTAAAACATTTCTTACATTTAAATCTTAATAATTTTATTTTAATAAAGAATTTGAAACAGCATTTAATCTAGAACTTGTAAAATTATCCTTTTAGCTTAAAATCGAATGCATTTTAATTACAAATATTAGTATTCTATTTTTATTTAGTCCTCATTTCAAGAAACGTTCTGCTTGTACTGTTAAATGTGAAATTAGGTGTGGTTATAAGATTACTCTTTTAAAGGTAAATCATGTATCATAATACACATAAATATGTACTGCCGTCGAGGCAACTGATTTCATAATGTATATTCAAATACTTTTACTGCAATAATGATCTCGTATTGTAAAAAACTTACTTGAATTGGTACAAATACTATGTACCCAAAAATATATCAAATGCTAATTAATGTGAAACAGTCTATCTAGGTTAAGTGTTTATTTGAATAGTGTGATAAAGACCGGTTATGTCGGTTTGTAAATCGTAATTTCATTAACTCTATATTGCAAGAATTCGGTTCCAGTTATCACATTATTATTGGAATTTTGTATTTGGCATTCGTGAGAACATAATAAAGGAGCCTTGGGAATAAATCTATTTCAGTTCTACCCTATGTTCTTATGCAGCAGAAAATAATTTCTATCTGCCCTTTTTCTGAATTTCGAGATACTTAAGAGTGGGAAAACCTATGCGGACAGAAATGAAGTCTGCCC